TTTCATAAGCTGATATTGTTATTAGAGGTGTAGATCTATAATAAATTTGCTGAAGGTAGACATGCTAGAGCACAATTGAAACTATTTCCAAGCCTAGCTGTGCCATGGACCTATGCACGCACACCATGCATGCTGACATAGGCAAGGCGCTGTTTGTGTGTGAGGAACTTCGCACCTTTCATACCCTTCCGCATCCTTAAAATCTTTACAAGCTAGATATTGACAAGATGAGCTCTGATTGGCTGTATGCAAATGAGTTCATACTGGGGTCCGGAGCTCAAGTGGGAACAAAAATTACGCCGCCGGGAAGCGTTATTTTTTTCTGCGGCACAGATTGGGGTTAGGTGTGTGTTGAGCCTATGTGAAAGTTTAGGGTTTGGGTTAGGGTTAGCGTTAGGGTTAAATCAAGACCTCTTTAAACAAAAAAGCCCCAATCTGTGCCGCAGAAAAAAAATGACGCTGCCGGGAACATAGTGTAAACGTAGCATAAACACGTTTACACGTACTTGGTATTTCTATGTGAATGAATGAGCAAGGTTTTGGCAGCCTAAGGGTTAATACTTTAAACTTGAATTATATCTTTGCTCTGCCATCAACTGTATCGAGAGAGACTTGATGACAGACTAACATCATGGATTCAGTTCATGGTACAAGCGGTATACAGACGGTATCTGACCGGGAAGTTGTTTGTGGATATGTACGCTGTATGTTGGGCGAGGGTCGACAGTATACGTGTGGAAAATTGGAGTGTGGGTTGTGGATGTTGCCGAGAATACTGTAGAAAATGGCGACGTTAAAAGTGCTAAAACTGTTTTTATCAACTCTGTCACTTTTCGTCTGTTTTCTGATATTGATACAAGGTAGGTGGCTATCATCCATTCAAATCTATCTTGGTGTGTAGTGTTGTGCGTATTATGGTGATCTCCACCGAGACGATGGTTTTATGAAAATGTCAGCATGGTCATGCAAGCATATATATATATATATACATATATACATGTATATACAACCTGTATATACATGTGGCTTCTTTGCTTAAGGTGCGGTGTACCTGAGAACTGTCAACAAAGTATATTTTTCCAGTTTTTAAGCCCAACATAATTATTGCGGCTTGTGCAGGTGACTAAAGAACATAAACACAGTTTATGATTTTTTAGCTCCAACATGTATGACATTTGGGAATACGAACAATAAAGGACTACATCGTGGCTGGATTTGGAGTGTGAAAATTCAGGTCATTTGACCGGTCCATTAGACTCGGCTGAATTTTGCTAGAAACGCAACGTATCTTTCTTGCTCCCTGAACGAGATGGCTCTACCCAACATCCCCCTCCCCCTCTCTCTCCTTTTCTGTCTCTTTTACTTGCACCCCTCCTCGCTCATGCTCTTACCCCGCTCTCTCTGCTCTCTTTCTTCCCCCCCCGTTTCTTTTGTTTCATTTTCTTTCTTGTCCTTCTTTTCTTTCTGTTCATTCGTTTCCTTTCCTTTCTTTTTCTGTATTTCCCTTTTTCTTTTCTTTTTCTTTTCCTCTCATTTTTCCTTCCCCCTTTTTCCTATTTCCGATTGCAGCACCTAATCTCTTGTTTTGCTATTTTGTTTCTTTTCTTTTTAATTATTTTTAGCCACCAAAAGAGGAAGGATACGGGCCGACTGTGCCCCCCCCCCCCCTGCATGAGTCCGCACCTTACTGTAATAAAGCGAATTAATAAAGAAGGAATTATCTATTAATCAAACTCAAACATGATCATTAATTGATATGATAAAAATGGAATTAGACAAAATATTTATATTAGATTCTTCACTGTTATAAATATTTGTAATCCTTTTCTAGTAAAGAACCTTGATTAGACAATTACATAAAGTCGTAGTCGAGTGGGTCAAACACATCACTGGAGAGTCGAATGTCGTGGGATCGAGCCACGTCGGCGAGAAATTAAATTACATTAGCCACTCTCCAACCCTGGTGTTGTACCGGTAGAATATAATGAATAATCCTTGAATGCTGTGAGCACCGAAATCGGTAGCCAAACTGGGGTATACAGGGGCGCATAGAGCACCTTGCCTGATGAATCTGTGCAAGCGTTATAGATATACCATATTGTTGATATTCAATTCTCCGTTCTTAATTTAAACGTTAGTTTTCCAAAAGGGGCTTACCCTCACAATCCTTGTTTCTCAATATGCCTTTCAATGTATTATTATTATAAGTATTAGCCCTTATACCCGCTTAGGTTGATGAGTGTGTATGTAAATTGTATAAGGGGATGTGTATGAATGTATGTGCTGTATGTATGTGTATAATTATGTAAACATACATGCATGTATGGATAGGCCTATGTTGTATAAATGCATGTACTCGTAACGAAGTATATATATATATATATATATATATATATATATATATATATATATATATTTATATATACCGTATATATGTATATATATATATGCAGTCAAATATTTCAACATTATAACCTTCACCTATATATTGCCATTATGTTTTTTTATACATGCCATACACTCCATTGCTACTTTGTTGCAGTCCTCTTCTTTTCCTCCTTCTTTTATCTTTCTCCAAGCTCTCTATCCTCCTCTCCTCTTTGCCTTTTACTTTCTTCCTTTCTTCCTTTCTTCTATTTATAATGTATATTATGTATTTGTGTATTCAGGCGTACCCATTATAAGCTCTGCTTATCAGGTTTCGCGTATTTTCCCTTGTAATAAAAATTCTTTAATTATATTCATGTTCCTACGTATAAATTGCATTATTTGAACAGATGTCAAATATGTTGTCAAATTGAATGGAATAAAATAAATGTTCAATTGAATTGAATTGAATTGAATTATAATACAGTTGTGTGACTGTTTAAGTGTCATAGTGTCATATAGTACATACAACTTGCTCCAAAATGCATGTGGGAAAAGAAAATGAATACAGATTTATACTGTCAACAATTTAAATTCTCTCTCGGTATTCCAGGTGAGGTTGTTCATATCACAGTGGTGACCATAGACTACTATATTGTAGAGTCATCTAGCAGTTTGGAGTATCAATGCTACCGCAGTGAACCAGATAGAAATGCTTCACTATCATTTGGTCGATCCGCACCTATAACAACAGACAGATCACCACCAGAAGATGTCCAACACTCAAGTGGATATCCATTCATCAGAGCGGTGAGATTCCCTACAGGAGATGGATGGGATAGAGATGGTTTCGGTCCTTTCTACTGTGAGGCATCTAAACCAGAACGAGATGTTACACGGGTCACTACGTTTTTCCAACGATATGATGGTAATTTCATTATAGAACTCTCTATAAGAATAGGAAAAGATATCCATATTTTGTAAAGATTTGTTCTTCAATGTGCATACATTGTATTCGGGTAAGCCAGAATCCGATGACCGGGGAAATAACATGATTGCAGGGCCATCAGGGAGAACAGAATGAATACTGATGAGGCTACCCTGGGTAAACAAGACATATTATTATTATTATTAATGTATAATATAGAAGCTTACCGTAAATTTACATAAAAGTGAAGTTCTCAGCATATCCAGTGTGAGGTCGATCATGATGATGTCATTTTAAGAAGAACCAAGTATTGTGATTGATAAATTTGAAATCCATGGATTGTCTCTCAGATTTTCTGTTTACTTCTGCACAAATTGATCGGACCAATTTCTTTATAAAATTGAATTATCAAAATTAAAGACATCTCTATTTTCTTTGTTTCATAATATATCCTAAGTAGATTTTTAAATGTGTACATGTACAATACATGAATAATTTTGAATAGCCAATGAATGTTATCAAATAATATTTTAAGCACTCAATATTAATATAACTTTTTCTGACAGAATAGTTACTAAATGTTGTATCATTACATTTCTAAAGCTTTAAAAATACGACTGAAAAATCTAAATCAACCACAATTCCAATTTGTTTAACAAATCTACAAATATTGTCGTGTTGAACATAATAGGAAACATATTATTCTTTTTTCTCTCGCCAATGCTGATTACCATTTTTCTACGCACTTTGACCTTTGTAAAATCATCGCTGTTTGGCTTTGCTGCAATGATGTTTTTGTTAATCATAAACAATTATCTATCTTTACCAACGTAGACTGAGCTTAAAGTTCAATTGAAGATTAAAATATTAGTGGAAGATTCGCGATACAAACTCATGGCAAGGTTTACCAACAAATCATTAACCCGTCAGTACATGAACAGCCCGGGACCGTCCCTTTTTATTACTCATTAAACTTTGACTCTTAGTAACAGCAGACAATCTTATCCTTTGGCAATGAAATTGTTATGTGTAGTTTCTTGTGATATAGTTTATTTTCAATCCGGATTACAAATGATGCGCTGTTGTGGAAATATTTTGCGTTTAGCAGAGACTTTATACCGCAAGACGGTTTCCTAAGGTTCAGGAGCGAGAGTGATTCAATAAAATGGCTCCGCTTATGACGCTTTCACACTCGTTGGCGATGAATGCTTAAGAATGGCTCTATAAAAAAAAAGGCTTGATAATTTACATGTAGAATGTGAATGAATCTAGACATTGTAGGATAGGGTACTCTTAAGTAATTAGAAATAGCTGGAAATTATTATCCTGTGCAGTTGAGTTGAGCCTGAAATTACTCAGATTATGTTGATGATGTTTATTTACATTCAAATGGTCAAAGGAAAATCGACACATTTTGATTTGGACAGGCGCCAGACTATTTGCCATGTTATAATCTTGGAAATGGTCTAAACTTGTAAGTGATAAATATCGCAAAGCAAAGTCTTATAAAAGCATTCAGGTTTTCTTTAGTGAGTAAATAGCTACAGTGCGCGTGACCTATAGGTGCGACATGTAATGTATTTTAAAGTTTACTCTTTTTTGGTTGGTTAAGTTATTATTATCTCTTTTAACAGCTAAATTCAAGTCAAGCGATGGATTAATTACAAAGACAGTCAATGTGAATGACACTGGAGTGACGATCAGCATGACTCGTTATTATGTCCCTGATGAAAGTGACAACTTGATTACTTGGATGAAAGATGGAAGTGAGGTTCTTACATCATTTGGTGGGCAGACTCAGATCAGCTTCCCAAACCCAATCCAGACATCAGACCAAGGAATCTATGAGATCTACTATAATAACGAGAGGAATCAAAGTAGAGGAGGACTATACAGACTCATCGTGAGAGGTACATGTTAAGTGTATTCCTGCTTATATCAGATTCGGGTTCTTGAGAGAGGTCATTTCTTATCCAATATAATATTGTTTGTTACGATGCATGTAAAAGGTATTGCTTCATATCTTGCCAAAAAAAATCTCTATTTGTTTAGATTCATTGGATTGTGCAATTCAAATGACGTGAACCGGTGTGTTGGCTCAGTCAGTAGTGCATCCGCCTCTCAACCGGGAGGTCGTGGGTTCGAACCCCGGCCGCGTCATACCAAAAGACGTTAAAAGACGGGAGTTGCTGCTACCTTGTTTGGCGTTCAACATTGAAGGGATACAGCAACTTCGATCTGGCGCTGCTCAGTGGCTGCCGGGCTCACGATCAATTGGGCAAAAAGAATTTCCATTTTCGGTTTAATAAAATTTGGAGTGGACTTTAAGAGAGTATTATTATTATGATCTTTACGTTTTCATTTATATTTCATTATTGATAACAAAATGAATGTGAAAATTTGGAAACAATGATAGTTTAAAGTATTCTTGTAGATAATGTCGAAATCTGATCTTTTGGAACGGCATATTACTGTGCGATGGACAGCTTTTCTCTTTGCAAATTGTATTCCAAAAGATTTATGAATCTTCAAATGATAACATTCAAGTATAATCTAGTCATTATCCGTATGTATATTGAGAACATTATTGTGTAAAAATGTTTTCAACTGTTTACTTCCATTCTATTTTACCCTGTTTATGTTCTATTTGTTCTCATCTTTGTTATGATGTAATCTTTAGTGACATGTATTTTACGTTTCTGATTCCTTTCTCTCTTCCTATCTCATATTAGAATGCCCTGCTGGTAAGTGGGGCCCTCCTGAGTGTTATGGTATCTGTGATAAATGCTACAATGGTGGAGTCTGTGATGACAAGTCTGGTCTATGTATCTGTCCTAACAACTTCAAGGGACCGAATTGTTCAGAAAGTAAGTAGGCCTGTAGAACTTCATGTGGAATGATGTTTTATTTTTATCTCTTGATAGATTAATTGAGGAAAATATTTATTGTCTTATTCCATTAAAAACGAACAGAGTAATGTACGTCTATTTTACATGTTCATTCCAAACATGTCTTTCTTCTAACTGACGAAGAGATAGAGAAATAAGAATAGTATCATGCATCATGTCTTTTTACATTTTTATATACGTACTAGTAATTCTTCATTTGACCAGGAATCGTTTCCAAGAATAATGTTGTTTTACCATTTATTATTCTGTGAATAACAATTAGATTTGTGATATTTTTTTGTATGGTAATATTTTTCATGTACTATTAACAGTCCGTTATATAACGTAAAATGACTTTGTAAAGTGACCCTCTTTACCAGAGCTGCGGGTTATTGTACATGTACATCACAGTATATGTATATAAATCAAGTTAATCATTAAAAAAAAAAAATGTCAAATAATATACAGCAGGGGAAATGATTTGTTTTTTCTCCTTTTTATTCCTTAAAGGTAATACAAAGTTTTGGTATGGGTTCGTGAATTTGGTTCAAATGAACAAATTGGAAGCATATACGATCCTACAATATTCAGTGATCGTTGTCGCGGTTGAAATTGAGTCTAAAGTTATGAAATTGTAAATAATAAACTCTTTATGTTGTAATAGCTCCCTCTCAAGGTCAAGATATTAATTAAGCTATGAAACCATGTTTCTGGACTAAAATCGACCGAATTGCTAATCCCGTTTGGAAATGATAAATCACAACTACATATTCTGAGATTTTCATGGTCGCAGCTACCATTGTACGGCTGTAGGAGCTTTTCGAAAATTATCAAAATTTACCGGGAGCACCGGTAAATTTTTATATTCAATTTTTCTCGAAAGCAGAATTATTTCAGGGGCTAAATATTCTAGTGCTTAAAATACATCCACATGGGCATCCAAATATATCAAAATTGTAAAGAATCACCATCCACCCAATTTTCAAAATTTCCCAAAACTTTGTATTACCTTTAATACCATATAAAATGTTTAAATAATGTCCAAATATATGTCTCAATAACATTAATGTTCATGATCGACAATTTTTTTTATCCATGGTATTTGAGGATCCTATTCAATTTAGTAAAAACTATTATGTTTATAGAGCATTAGACACCATTGGTAATTTGCAAAGGAGATTACAAGAAAACAACCATATATGAAATTTATCTCATAACATCTCATTTCCTATTAAAGTCTTTAAGGTTTTAATTCAACAATGCAACATATTTTTTCCAGTCTGTAGAACTGATGGTGGAAATCGATATGGATTGAACTGCGAGTTTCAATGTCCGCATCGCTTTGGTGGCACATACTGTCATGCCACACTTTTTTGCCTTCCTGATCCTTACGGATGTTCATGTGACGCTGGTATTCATAATTTTCGTTGTAATGCGCGTAAGTATTCCGATAGTCATTGAATGTTGCTCACATTTGAATGATGAAAATATAGAGGCCTCAAAGTAATGAAACATCTACCATTCTCGGATTTCTTTTTCTTGGAATATCAAAAGCATATACCACAACATGGCTGGATTCATGAGGGAGGTCAGGCGCGACTCAGAGGTGAAGCGAAGGAGAATAAGGAGAAGAAGAAGGAAAAGAAAAACAAGAAAGAGAAGAAGTTATAGTTACATGCACAATATTTCGTTCTGATGATTGTATTGAATCTGTTAATCTGTTTTGTATTTTGAATTCTATTACAGTATGTACTGCAGGTACATATGGTGCAGGATGTTCACAGACATGTCACTGTGCAGGCGGTGGTTCATCATGTGATAGGTATAGTGGAATATGTACAGGTGGATGTCAGACTGGCTGGTCCGGGGATAACTGTCAAAGTAAGTCATGGTTAGCAATGATAACAAATAATGTGACGTAAACGCTGTCCCCTAATAAGATAAATAAGAATTGTACATGAACACTGCAGCTATATAATATTTTGTTATTATTTTTATTTTGTTATTTGTTAACCCCATTGCCTAGAGAAACCGATGGCTCCTGTATTATACCTGTGTGGAATAAGATAATTAAGTAGTCAATGAGTTAATTTGAAGTTATTATATTTTATATTTTTGTAGACAAACCCACTCTTTATACTCGACTGTGTTTTGAAACAACTCATCCCATATATTCCATTTTCATTAATATTATTAGTATTATTATAATTATTATTAGTAGTAGTAGTAGTACAAGTAGAAGTAGTAGTAGTAGCAGACGAATGGACGATATTATAGGATATCTTGTTTAGCACCAGGCTTTATCTGCTACAAGGTCCATATCATGTTTTGTAATTTAGGAGATGATTTCTTTCTTAAAGTACACAAATATATTTAGTGAATGCACTGTTCAATTTTTAGATAGTGCAAATAATTTAGATACACATTCATAAGACAACAATCTAGTTTTAATGAGGTAACATATTTGGCTGTAGTACTTGCTAATTTTTTATTTCTAAAATATTTGTTTATCATCCCCAGTTCCAGATGAATGTGAAGACGGTTACTACGGATCTCAATGCACTGATAAATGTCATTGTTTGAATGATGAACCATGTGGTAAAGATACTGGAGAGTGCCTGGAGCAGAAGTGTGCTCTAGGATACAAAGTACGCAGTGGCCAGGTCAATTGTCAAGGTAAAATACAATTTTTAATAAAGGGTGTTGAATTTTCCCTATCAATTCCTATTTATTTATCTCCAGACTACATACAACATGTACATACACGAATGGCACAGCGTGCTTGACATACACAGTATTTTGTTTGTAAGTACACATGTATGAACACTAATAAGTACTTGTATGTGCAGTTGTTATATCAAACACATATATCTTCATAGTGATGGGATCGTAAACACATTATTAAAATATTACTGTGGAGGGGGATTCTAGTAGACAAATATTGACTTTCTCGAAAGGCATGGTTACTATGGTGACTATACGCCCAAAGTCATCTTGAAACTGTACTGTGCCCCGAGACAAATTGGAGGGCATAGTGCAGTCTCGAGAACACCGAAGAGCTACATATGCATGTAGTATAGTTTAAATCGTGAGTTTAAAAAATCGCAGTAAATATTTGTTTAATATATCTCAAGCATTGTGTGGATTCACCCAAAAGATATCTTGACAAAGCATTAATGCAGGTAAAGTTTAACATTCTGAAAGAAGGGTGTGTGCTATTACTGCGTGTATATATTGTTAACTTTCTTTATGCTTATCTATATATGTATATATATTTGCTTTCCTGCTCAGCAGTCAGTAGTGAATTTCATGGCTGTAGTTTTGACTAATCAGGGACCTAGAATCTTGATATGCTGTTGAAAAAATGAAAAATATACCTACGTGCATCATTTAGTCTCAAATATTGATCACATTGTTGTTCAAACAAGCCATATTTGATTGGCTTATACAAACTGTTTATTTGTGGGGCTTTAACAAAAGTTGAAGACATGACAAATATGTTGAATGCGAATTCGAGAGAGGACAAGAAGGTTTTATATTGAGGTTGATGTAAGTGGTAATGTCAGTAGTGAAAAATTTTAATTAGGAAGAATGAAGATGGAAATATAATTATTTTACATCATTCGATGGAAATGTGTTTGATTTTGGTGTTACACTCCAGGAAAAACTCGGGGCTTTGCTTTAAACTGCTTAAAATTGTTGTTAAAGTACGATTATTCTACCATATGTTTCTAATATGTGACCTTACGCTTTTGTTTTATTATATTTTAGAGTGTGAAGGGGGTACCTTTGGTTTGGATTGTCTTCAGCAATGTCATTGTGCTTCAGAGGCTTGCGAGACGGAGAGGGGTCTTTGCAAGGGACAATGCCTAGAGAGCTGGATTGGACCGTACTGTCAAAGTAATTATACCCAGCATATTATGTTTTGGTTCGTTCAGCTTAAAATTATATAGATTAAAAACAACCTCAGTGTGCATATGGAGCTGTGTCTGCATGTATTTAATGTTGTTTAACTTAGTTTAAGCAAATTTATTTGTATAGCACCATGAACATCCGTATCTGGCGCCAACTGGCACTTTGTAAATAATTGTTATTATTGTTTTTTTGAATTTTAATCATTATCATTATTGGTTCTTATTTTGCAGAGGCACGTACACATAAATATACAAACTCTCGTGTATTCTTATGCATATGTTTAGTGCAATCTTTATATTTAAGAAATTTCTCATACCCTGTACATGCAGTGAGACGAAGTGTAATGTAAAACATTCAACACAAAATCTTTTTAATCCCAAATGTTTATCTGTTATCGGATAATCTTTGTTGTACACAATTGTTTTTTTCAAGTGTATAGACATCGTGATTAATAATAGTGATTGGTTTTAAAGTGCATAAATGATTTGCTTGCCAGGAGTATTGCATTTATATTGTAATGGGTCAGCGGTTAAATGTTTAGAGTCAAATTAAAGACGAAACAGGCTCGAAAATACAGTTGAAGTCCAAGTTATTACTTAATAATGTATTACTTAATTATCGCTACAAACTTGGCCGAAGTTCCAGTACTTAAAACGAAGATTATTTATTTTATCGAATTGTATACTAAATATTCTCTCAGAGGCTGGGCGGCCCTATAGCTTATGATAATTTAGCAGCACATCTTAACTCGAAAATTGAACAAACTAAACTGGCCCAAATGAACTCATGCACATGGCGCTTAACTCTTCATGCGCCAGGCAAGTCTTCGATAACATGATAATACTAGCCAATCGGAACACAACCAATTACAAAATAGGATATGTAGATATGCCACCGACCTCGAGATTGTTTCAACCTTACAATTAAGAGAGGAGTTATACATTAAATTAAATATAACTAATGACTAGAGTAGTACTGACTGTGAACTGGAGAAAGTAAGAGTTGCCTACAGCCCCGCAAGAATGCTAAATCCCCTGAAAAACAATTTATTGTCTAACATAAATGGAACATTCTATCGGATATAAACACCTGTAAATATAATGCAGAAATTTAAGGCCAGGCGCTGTGTCCCCGTCCCTGGCATACTGTCGGAAACATACCAGTACCTCGAAAGTCGAAACTTATTCTATTCTACAATGTCAAAATAATAATCATCCAAAAGTTACAAGTTATTTAACCTAACTCCTCTATTGATATAGCGCCCCCTTTAGGTTTGAGTTAGAGTTTGCTCTGTGTTGATGCGTTGATGTGCATAATTTTATATTTAATAATTGGTTTAATTGTTGATAGGAATATCAAGATTGGTTCCAGTGAGAGTGAACCCATACCAACCCTCTAGCTTCACATGTTATGTTGAGGGTATCCCACTTCCCGATGCATCCTCAGTTGATCTTTACAGACGTACCGAAGACACCAATAACAGGACAGGAATCACCAGGATATCAAGCACTGTCTCAGGGTCAGAACGAGCTGTTGTCTTTGATGTTGATAGTGTGTATACACAGGAATATGGGGAATACGTTTGCATTCTTACCGTTGAAAATGTAGGCTATCCCAGTACGCCCGTTACCAACGCAACCTATGGTGAGAAAACTGCGTGACATCGCTTTACTCTACTGTACTTCTGTGAGATACGTGTGAAATAGGAAGCATTATATACCTCTGTTTAGAAATCCAGCCATCTGATTGGTCGAAATTGGAGTCGTAATTTTTAGCAATTCCCGTAAAGAATCGAACAATGCCAGTACCGGTTAATAGTCCATGAGTGAGATTACCGCAAGATTCGGATACCGGGGATTTTTTTTTTGGGGGGGGGGGATCCCCATTGGTTTACCTGTTCAATTTAGTTTGTGCGAGCGCGGATATGCTTTTTGTTTGCGATTGTCAAATGATTCAAATATTCATACATCTTTCCGTCGAAGATTTACAGACAGTGTCTCAGATATTCCGTGATGTTTTAACCTATCTTTACTTAAAAAAGGATAAAGTCAGAATCATTGGTCGTTTTTTGTGTCAATTCGCTATTAAAAAGGAAAACATATCAACTGCTTTAATATTCGAGGTCTGGCTGTTGGCTCTCTGGGACGTTGCATCGTTTCATGAACCCTCGGCGCGCCGCCCATCCAGGCGCGCCTCGGGGTCATGAGAGGTAAGGATGCAACGTCCCCTTGGGCGTATAAAACAACCAGGCCTTTCGTAGCAGTCGATATATCTATACTAATTCAATATCTTATATGTATAATCGTTTCCAGTCACGCTGTCTGCAAAGAGGCCGGGTTACAAGGGATTGCATCAGTTATGTTGTTAGTTTTCTTGTGTAATTTGGTAAATGCTAGGCAAATTGACTGGATAGAAGAACTTCTACTATAGGTGTGTCATTGATTTTAACGGTTATTTTTGTCAGTTCTGCCAGTCATTGAGAAAGCACCAGTGATAGTGAGCACCACCTCAACTACAGTAGGTCTTCGATGGCATGCATGGTCTGGAGAAGATGACATAGGTGATCCTCCTCTGGTAGGATATGATGTCTTTGTAGAGGAGGATGGTGAAGTGGTAACGGATCAGAGAGTAGATCAACCCACAACATCAGCCATCGTTAGTAACCTGACACCAGACACAGATTACATGTTTCGTGTAGCAGCAGTGAGGGAAGGAACCGGTGGAACAGGACCTGTGTCTCCTAGTAGCGAAGCAATAACTCGCTGTAGAAGTAAGTTTGCTCAGAAGATACATTATCGAATCAGCCAAGGATTTGTCATGATTTCAGAGTACAGAATAAAACATTTAGAGATGGTTTAACAGACATAGCCATTTACCGTTTACTTTATATTAAATCGCTAATATCCACAATACTATAAATACCCTTTTACAGCAACGCTACATGCACTTCTTTTTAACCTTCCATCCACGAACAAACTAAGATCAATAGTTTTAACACAGAATGTCACTTGTAGTTTATTTGTTGTCCTTGAGATCCAACAGATTATGGACAGCAAACAACCCATGGCAAGGGTCTATCATTTGTAAGTCGTAAGTTCTAAACACATACGTTTAGAGCACATTATTCCTCCTAGACATGCTTTCGAATTCCTTAACAGGAGCGATCCAATCTTTACTCATAGGAACCGATGATGTGACCAGCTGTCAATATTGCCAACATCTGCTGATACTTTACGTGGCTAATGTACCTGATTGCACAATACATGAATATACACACACAAAATGAATATATAAAATAAGGAAGCTGAATTTCCCCATTCTCCCTAGACTTTAATACAGGAGCCACCGCATTCCTATATTGGATTGGTACATTGTATGAGTCATGTTTCATTTATGATTGCAACACTTTAGGTGGCTCTCCCAGTGCATCAGTTGGACTGATAATATGGGGTTCCATGGCTTCCCTCATTAATATCATCCTGGTCATTATTCTCATTCTCGTCATCTTTAGAAGGTAAGTGACAGGGAGACCGTTATCTAGTAAGGTCATTAAAATAGTTAAAATACACTGTAAACAGACAGATGATAACGAAAACAAAACTATAGTATGACTCAATATATTTTTAACATAAATTAAATTATAGATTTGATATCACCCTCAGTGGTTTTCCTTTAAACTGATGCGTGTTTAGGTTATCATAATGTACAGTACACTACCTTTGGTCAGTAATGAACTCTTTGAACACAAAATTAGACGTTAAAAAAGGTCAAATACTTGACAATCTGAAGTGAGACAAAACGCTAATGGACAAAGTGATTGCGAGATTTTCCGTATGCGGGCAAGTATTGAATCCAATGACCGGTGTAATAGTATATTTGTAAAGCGCTTAGATACATTGGTATTAAGCGTTGTATAAAAACGGAATATTATTAGTTATTATTATTTTTCTTAAGGCCATCAATATATACAATGAATTGCTTATAATGTGTTTAAAGGTATTGTATTATAATGTACATCCACAATCACACACATGCAGCTATTATGATAATAAGAGTCCTTTTCTACTTCACTTGTATTTGAACTTTGAGTGTGTGGGTGTGTGTGCGTGCGTTTGTGTGTGTACATGTACTCACAATGTCGTTACAGAGAAGAAGGAAATAAATATTTGTTTCTATTTCACTTCCAGGAAAAAACAAAGGCGTTTAACGGCCGAACCGTCGCCACCAGACAATGCACGTGAGACCTCATCTAAGCATGAGAATCATGCATTTGACAACTCCAACCAAGACCCCAATATTTACGAAGACCTTAATACTGATACCGACCCCCATACCTATCAATGTCTAAAGAAACCCACCATCAACATACCCTATCCAGATAGCACAAAATCAGATCTGGAAGACACTTACGAAGATATGTGTATATACGTGTAGATAATAAAAACTATTTTGTTGTAAGATTATGTAAAGACTATTATATTATTCAGTATTTAGGTCTTTTACCCACAGTTGTCGAAACAAAATCAGTTTTATTTCTTTACACGTTTGCCACTCGTGCGATTGTGCGCAAAACAATAGGCATTATTTGACGGAGGGATTGCTTTGTGCAACGCAGTGACTTTGAAAAATTATATAATGTTGGTCATCAAGCCTCCATGATAACCCTTCTAACACGGGTACAGATTAATGTTTATAAACTGGACAGTAGGTCCTTGGTAATACAGTAATTTCCAGGTCGTACTCGGCATGATATATTATAATAAGATATGTGTCCTCGAAAATGTAGTAACATACTGATGCATCTTTTGCTATATCACTACAGGTATAGACTCTTCAGATTGACTGAATCGGTAATGTCAGTATGGTGTAGTGGCGGACACCTTTTCTCTTTGTTCCAAAACACAAAATGACTAAAATTCAAATTTTTCAAAAAACTATGCCGCAGGAGGGTCTGTTCTCTTTAGAGGACATATTGCTATCCACAATATGTATTCAATCAGTGCCCCAAGGGAGAAGGCACTTAGTTGAAGTTTCGTATAAATGCAATAGTGTAGGCCGGAAAGAAATATATGCACTGAATTATATAACTATTAAATAAGAGGTAGTTGTAGTTTTCTATAAATGCAATAGTGTAGGCATAAATAATATTCCCTGTACTATTATTTTATTTTTTTTATTATTTGTTTTCCTATCATTAAAAATCTTTAAATTAAAAAAAGTATACGGTGTTTGCTATTTATCTTGTGGTAATAGTGGTGGTTATTTTACCTGACTGCTAAGAAAGCATAGATGCGTGTTAGTAAGCAACCAGACGACCGATGGCTTTAGATCCTCTCCGAGGGACCTGGTAATAAGGATTAATGACTTACCAAAGGGCACGAGCGCATCGCCTTGGTTTCGAACACAGGTCACCGGATTACAGGACCACTGCTCTACCAACTGAGCTATTGCGCCTCCTTTATCTTTAGAGAACTAATGCATATTCTGAAAACTGGAGAGTATATATATTTCTTTATCCCGTTACGATAATGGCAGTTTTGCATGATCAAATTATTATTGGATGTGGTAGTTCCTGGATTATGTAGACTTCCTAGAACATTGAACTAAGTATTTCGGGAAGAAAAAAAATCATGCGTGTGTGTGTGTGTGTGTGATAGAGAGAGATTATTAAAATGTCTTAGTTGTGAATGGTATCTTTAAAAGGTCTAAACAGCCTGAAATAAAACTAGACGATTACAATCATCATCAATAAGTGTTTGCAGAGCACATGACTATCGTTGCTATAGTAACAAAGAGTTTGTCAGTCTGAACTTTAAACTTGTCTCGCTGCTGTTCAAGTTCAACGCTGTTAATGATTCATTTCTAACACGATTCAACTATTTTTAAGAAACTCAACTGAAGACATTTTCGGTATCCTTATGCGAACGTTACTCAATCCGAACATGATTTCGAAGTGTGCAACAAAATGTACCACACTTAGTCCGGCAGCCAAACCCGGATTTTGGGCCTAACCTTGTTTTGGTGAAATAAGTTTTTTTTTAATGTATTCTGATTGTCTAGGTATCCTCTGTGAACAAGCAAAAAACTGGAGCTCTGTCAGCCTTGAGCAATTTAAGATATAAGCAAAAACAAAAGGGCCGCCAAAATGGCGTTTTCTGCTCTAAAAATATGTGAAAATGTATACTTTGTCATGTTTTATTTCTGCATTTAGAACCCTTTTCTGATTTTTTTTACCAGATAGGATATATATGATACATATTTTGATAATTATAAATATTATTTTTAGATGGCAGAGCCTAATTCATACATTATTTATACAGGGTGATTCATAAAAAAAGTGTACGAGAAATTGGCTGTTTGCAATTTTTACTTCGATAACAAGCAATCAATGTATACACACTCTGGCAACATATTTTGTGATGTATATAAGCTGCATTATAATTGGAGCTAATTCATGTCGCCTATCATCATATAGCCTTTAGCAATTTGTGATTATAAGCAAAAACAAAATGGCCGCCAAAATGACGTTTTCTGCTTTAAGATTATGTGAAAATGTCTACTTTGTCATGTTTTATTGCTGCATTAAGAACCCTTTTCTGATTTTATTTAACCAGATATGATATATATGATATATATTTTGATAATTCTAAACATGGTTTCAGATGGCAGAGCAATTTATACATTTATACAGGGTGATTCATAAAAAAGTATACAAGAGATTGGCCGTTTGCGATTTCTACTTCGATAACAAGCAATCAATGTATACACATAAATGCTGCATTTTAATTAAAGCTAATTTATGTAGCCTATCATCTCAAAGCAAATGTATTTGTAGAGATACCCTGTTGAACATACATCTATGATGAACTGCTACGATTCAAGGAGTGTCCATCTGTAGAGGCAGGGAAAAACACTGAAGTGACAGCATTATCAAGTGCTGAAGATGGTCTTGTTCAGATCATAGTTGGCAACTTCCCTTGCAGTTCTCATGACCCAGCCAGATACAAGCATGTACCATGATGATCAGCAAGAGATTTCACAACTGAAGAAGGCTGAGATGTCTAGAGATATTGACTAGAAGCTTGACATCATGAGATACAATAGTCCAAGAAAACCAGATATGCCACCTGTCAAGAACCAAATTCCACCACTTAGTGTTCTCGCTCATATGGTTTCTCGACAGAGACCTAATGAGTGTGACCTCAGGTTCTTGACAGATGGTGTGCAGCGTGATAACTGTCCTGAATTCAATGGATATAATACGCATTTGTGTCGCAATCAAGGAGAAGCCACATAACCAAAAACTAAAGCAGTGTATCTATCGTTGATTGATATGCCACCAGCACATCCAGACACAATAATGACAGCCATGAGCAAATCACAGCAGTTAAACAGAGAAAACTGGTCAATGTTTCACTGTCTTCACTGCAGATCAACAACTGTACAGGGTTGCAGTAGAGGTACAACCTAATCAAACCAGTACTGATAATGATGCTCTATGTACGGGCTGAATGAGAATTAAAGTGATTGGCCTCTACACCTGGAGGTAGTGAGGCTTATGATGCCCTGCTTCTTTGCGTCGGGACATGTTAACTACGCGCGATATCGGTTGTTCTACCTTCGACGCATGGAAGCCCTACCAGGAGATGCACTCCAGTATTCCATGAAAGGGTCTCATGTGATGAGACACACTCAAGGCTTATGGAATGGCATATGGAGCGACATGGGCATGGTAAAGCTGGTGTAATTGGCATCACTCTAAAGCCAGAAACTCTCAAGACCTGCATGGGCCCTTAGCTTGCACATATTTATCAGACTTGTGGAAGACGTTCCAACTCTGAGAGACAAGTCGGCTAGTTCTAAAACAGTTCACAAAGAAGAGGCTCCAGCAAGGATATCTGCAGACCAAGGTGACAGAGACTGGTTGCGCAGAAAACTGGATGTTAGCATCGATCCAATGGACCCAAAGAAGCACCCAGCGAACAATGTCAATGTGGTCAATGCACAGATCGCTCCTGAATCAATGAATGTTGACAGAGTTGAAACTGGTGCTCAGCAAATGGGTGAATTTGAACGGAATTGCCTGGAGGTTTCTACGACACAATTTCGAAGAAAGTTCAAACCATGGCTGTCATGAAGAAATCAATTGTCAGAATTGACATAGCCGATTCCAAGGTATACGATACCAAGTTGATATACTCTTGCGTGATAGGTCTACAAGCAAGTTCCAGAGATGTTGAATTTCATGATGTAATGTCATGCGAGCTGTCGCCAGTTCCTACAGCTCTGTTTGACGAGTCTGGATATATGGATATCTCGAAGTCCAAGGCCACTTTGAAGAACCAGAGACAAAGGTTGAAGTATCAGCTAGACACGCGATACTTGAAGAAACGTGTAGAGTGATCGATGGATGTGCTCTCCTTTGGATTCCATAATTGGCCTTCATCATCACCAACACGACAACCAACAATGATGGACTTTTTATCGAAATTCAAAGGCAAGATTGAAGAGAGACTAAAATCCGGTGATGTGTACTTGGTCTTTGACAGGTCAATGATTACAGTACCAAGTGTACAACCAGGATATCGAGAGGCAATGATGGTTGCAGAGTTTTCCAACTGAGTCCAACTTTATCCCTTCCGTCTCAGAAACTGACTCTGACAGCCACATAGAACAAGAAACAGTTGATTAACATCATTTGTCAACATCTGCAAGGCGATGCAGGTTTCATCATAAAACACAAGCTTGTTCTCACCAGCCAAGATGGCACTCCTGTTCAACTAGGTCCAGGTGGTGTTCCAATCCAATATGGCACGATATGGCCACATATCATGAGGAGGCTGATGTGATTGTTGTGCAGCAGGCTGTCATGCTTGTCCAGTCACCCTTGATAATGGAGTCGCCCATCAGAGACAGATCTGTAATCGATATACATGCCACAGCGGACAGACACAGAGACATCATCCCTTATCATCCCTTATGTTAGCAGGTCACCCATTGACAGGTTGTGATACTGTTGGTGCACATTTTGGAGTTTGCAAAGGAACTTTACTAACTTTACTACATGCAGATATGGCCGACGTGATAAAAGATGCAACAGCGCTCATAACATCATGATATGGACAACCCAAGGCTACGACACTCTCAGATGCCCGACTGAATGTGTGGACTACACGGGTCGGGAAAGCAGGAGCTACCACACTCCAAATCTTGCTGCAATGCCACCAACAACTAAAGCTTTCAGAGATAATGTTAAGCGTGCCCATCTTCAAACATGGATTTGGAAGAGTGCTTCGGAATTGAATCCATGGACATTGGATCCCACTGCATTTGGTTACGTGAAAGATGAAGCAACAAAGTCACTCATCCCGGTAACCATTCCACCAAATGTGAAACTTGCACCTGCAAACATACTGAGACTTATACGTTGCAATTGTGCAAGTGACAACCCATGCAAATCATCAGGATGTGGATGCAACAAAGCCAAATTAGCTTGCACAATGTTCTGTGCGTGCCATGCATCCGTGCGATGTCTAAATGATCAGACTCTGGCAGCAAAAAAATGTAAATCAAAATGACAGTGATGCGTGAGCTCAGTTCAGCAAAGGAAGAAAAGGCGTATCCTCAGAAGAATTGCGTACAAGATGAATTGTGAAGGTAAAATTCTTAATATTGCTATAAAATGGTGACACATTCATGAAAGAAGAGTGATCAAATTATCATTTTTCACGAAATGGTATTTTAGGAATTCAAACCTATTGTGAAAACAAATGTTTATTACTATAGACTATTGATAGAAATTGTGTGATAAACTAACATTGCCGCCATTTTGAATATGTAAATGAGCAAACATACAACAGCCTAAAGTCAAATATCCAAATCAATTCATCTTTGATTTATGAAGTACCAGTATACTACTCTGCCAATTTCCGTAATGTATAATACTTATGGCAAATGTTGCTTAAAATTTATCATTTTGGTGGCCATTTTGTTTTTTCCCATTATCTAAATTAGTAATTATTGACAAATGAGTATGACATAAGTATATTGGTACACTTGGGTATTCTAAGAATTAGAAACATAAGATCGAAAGAAATGAGTATCATACTATTTTATTGTGATTCTTAACTTAACAGCTGGCATTTA